GCCAGCCACAGGGCCCCAAGTCACCAGGATCGGCTCGGGGCTGGTCAGCGGGGCCTTGTCAGCCGGGAAAGTGAGTGGGTGGCCGCCGGAGCCTGGGGGGCGTGATGGGGCTCAAGAGGCCGACATCAGCATGCTGGGCATGATTGGGCTCTGAAGGCCACTAGGCCATCAAAGCCCGAGCGGCATGATCCACATCTGCTGGCTGAGGTTGGCCTCTGGAGCCCAGGGGTTCTGATCAGGGTGGGTCGGGGAGGTCAGCCGCCTGAGCCCAGGGCCTGGCACGATCAGGCTTGGGCATTCAAGCTCTGCCGCTAGAGCCTGGTGGGGTTGCAATCGGGATCGGCCAGCCAAGGTCGGCCTCCAGAGCCTACGGGGGCTTGATAGGCATCTGCTGGTCAAGTGCGGCCGCCGGAACCTGAGTGGGCACAATCAGGATCAGCTGTCCGAGTTGCGCCGCCAGAGCCCGGGAGGTCGGCTTGGATGGTCGACGTCGGCTGCCAGAGCCCAGAGGGCGGGATTGGGGTCAGGCATCCAAACTCAGCTGCCAAAGCCAAGGCATGGTTGATCTGCATGGTTGGCCGCTGGAGCCCGGGGGAACGCGATTGGGGTCGAGGGGTCTTTGGCAGCCGCTATTGCCCAGGGGGCATGATTGGGGTTGGGTAGCCAAGGATGGGAGTGGGGTTCAAGGTCTGGCGGTCGTTGATCGCTACCAGAACCCTGGGGTATGATTGGGATCAGGGAGTCAAGGACATTAGCATTACTCGTTTATGGTGATACTTATCAGTTAAATGGTTAAACCTTCACTTCCCTAGTTTGGGGTCATTTCTTCGCATTTGGTCCAGGTTGGTAGCAGCCAAACCGTGTTAGCATATGTGGAAAAAGTTGTTGGGTGTCCTTCCAGTTCCTAGTGGGGAGGTGTCGACATCATAAAATCCACCTTTTGCATCTGGAGCCCTCCTTGAGAGCCCCAGCAAAGAACTCTGAAGTCCTTCCTACCTTCTGAACTCATCCTCTCAGAGTTATGAAAGAATTGGTCTGTCCCATTTGGGCTTGAGACCTGTTGACAGGGCAGTGAGAAGAAATGTGTGCTGCTACTTCCCATACTTGATGTACAATGTAAATACAATGTGGCTGTGTCTACATTGGCATCCCTTTCCGGAAAAGGGATGCTAATGAGACACTTCGGAATTGCAAATTCCACGGGGATTTAAATTTTCCCCGTGGCATTTGCATGAACATGGCTGCCGCTTTTTTCCGGCTCGGGGCTTTGCTGGAGAAAAGCGCCAGTCTAGACAGGTATCTTGCGGAAAATAAACCCTTTTCCGGAAGATACCTGT